AATACTGATGAAATATTCAGAAAAAAAACTAAGCAAGAATAAATTCGTTTTCAATTGATAATATAAATCGATGAAGTTAATTAATAATAATCATATTTAACAGGGTGTGGGTGGGTGTGGGTCGAAATGCATTTGGACCGACACCCACACCCACACCGTTAAGGTATGAAAAGAAACATTAGTGGCACAGAGGAGGTGGTACTACCTACCATGATATTTGCTCTTCTCATTGCTCTGAAACGAAGCAGCGATGGTACGGATTCTTTTGCATGATTTGTATACATGATGTACATCAACTACCAACAAAGCATGGATGACGAGCGATGCGTATCAATTGCGACTGTTCACTTGTACAATGGAATTCGAGCATAAAAGGACCGTAAACGGCCTAAACGATTTTTACAGAAACTTGGAGAGCTATCGGGTACAGTTCTAAAACCGGAAGTGTACGAAAGTCTAGCTCCATTAGTTGTCCCAAAGCACACCTGCCACTCTAACTGAGAGCATGATCAAAGTCGAAGTGCACTATGACGCTAAGATCCAAGCTGAGGACAAAAATTGACTGCGACTCCTATAAAAAAGAGTACTGGCCCATGAAAAACCTTGGGATGATACAGAACAACAAATGACAGCTGGACAAGAATTTTGGCTATACAGAGCTCGTACTATACAGAACCAGTCCGATAGACCTTGATATTAAAGTTGAAGTGGATAATGTAACTGACTGTACGATTGACAGTGTAAGTTGTGTCTGAAGCTGACTTCCCACTGAGATAGGTAGCAGAATGACGATTTCAACAAGAACATCAACGAAAATAACAACTGAAAAATGAATCATAATCAAAGCAACGATACAGACGACGATGGTAGCTGAGATAGCTGCTAAAAGTGATTTCCCGGTTTCTGCGAGGATCAGAAAAGATCCTGAGGTCAAGACTTCATTCGAATGTCGATCTCTGACTAGAAACATGTGTATGGACAGGAAAAGCTTCTAAAAGTTGCAGTAGAAATCAATATCTACTGTCATACGCAGAAGGAATCGTTAAATTTTCAGCTCGATACCACAACGTTTGACTGAGATATTTACCAAACAAGGGTCAAAAATAGGTCATTTTGGTACAAGGATTTCTCAGTCCGGATCCGCCCAACATATTTAAATTTTTTTTTGTTAGAAAGAGCATGCCAGGATGCAAGGCACCACACAGTCCTTTTTTTAAGATTCTTACTTTTTTAGCGGAGAAAGGAGATCACAAGTCCAATGACTCAAAAAACGCGCCAAAAATGGGTGTCCAGTCACATAAGTGTCTGTATATATGATAAAAAAGAAAGCTGAATTAAAAAAAAGGACTCTGTGGTGACCTGCATCTCGACGCGCTCTTTCAAACAAAAAAAAAATAAATATATTGCCCGAGCCGGGACTGAGAATTCCTTGTCCCAAAATCAAAAAATCATAAACCGAGAAAAAACGAAAAAGATTTTTGGCTTTTTCCAAAAATTGCTTATTTTTCGAATAGGGGATGACGGAAATCTTCAAAAATTTTTGGAAAAAACGAGGAACCGATAAAAAATTTTTGTCATTTATGAAAGATCAGATCACGGGCTATCTTCCTATGCATTTATCTCAATATCGATGATTCTGACAAAAAGTGACTTTTTTTGAGAGTGGGGAGGCCTTAAGCTCGGTTTTAACAGGATCAGCGGTATAAAACAGCATACTAGTGCTTGTGAAGTCTTTATATTTTACCTATTCTGTGCAACGATAGAAAGAAAAATAAATAAAGTCGTGATATAATGCACATGTTTTCAACCATCGATTAACTTTATCTTTCTCCATTATTGAAGCTGTCTGATCGATAAGTGATAGAACAAGCGAAGGAATGAAAATATTTTGCGAGGAAAAAAAACCAGTATGTTTGAATAATATATGATCATTGCTTTACTTCACGTATACGGTTGAATGCACGCAAGCCAAACATTTTTCCGATATGTGCATAAGCAAAACAATGCTCTCATTTTCTTTATTAAACAACGCTGATACATTACCTACGTATTACATTCGTCCTTGTTAAATTATTAGCATCAATACAAGAAGCAAACGTAAGTCTTTTAATACTGCAGTATCTTTCTAAAGCCCTTTTACTCTATTAATATTCAGAAGATTTTTCTATCTTTAAATAATACCACTAACACAATGTCGCTTGCTTTACATTCATTTTAAATCCAGTCAGAGGGGACTATTGAATTCGAATAATCATCAAAGGATTCGTGATCTTGTTGAAATCCGCAGGAAACTTCTAGTTTTAGTAGATTTTCCATATAGGAAGTTTGTTTTCAAGTAAAATAATATCTCAAATTTCGAACTAAACCTTTTTCAACATTAAAGCTTCGCTGTGACTTGTCGGTATATCAAGTTTCAACATTCGTTAGGTTATTATCAGATGCAAGTAGTTCCTGCTCTGAAGAAAATAAAGGAGATGTACAGATTCTTCAAGCTTCTTAACAGTTCCGCGTTTACTCTGTAGCAGAAACCCTGAAAAACGGTTCAGATCAAGCAAAAAATCTGTTGCCAATGGATTTAGAACTGTTTTTTTTTCTTGCAGGAAGTGCTTTTCAGGAGTTTTGCTGTAAGGTAAAACTCAGAATCTGTTAGAGGCCTAAAAGTTTCTACAAATCTCCTATTTTTCAGAATGCCCACGTTCGCTCTGGAAACGTTTCAGATGTTCTCATTTGTATTCTACGCACTACTTGATACGCTCTATCAAACGATGAGAATCAGATTTATGTTGTCTTCTACCGTTACTTTCAAATCGAAAAATAATGTATTCTTCCTTCAAGCCATAGAGAACTTCGGAAATATTCCCAGAATTTATTCGTCACGACTTGTCCCATGTCTTTTTCTCGGTGTTACTAAAAAAACCAAGTACATTTATCCTTGGGCCACAGGGAAGAAAACCAGTAGCAATTGCTAGTTCAATCAGAGTACAACCTCCTACTTGGATTCTACATATTTCATCGAGTAAAATCGGTTTCTTTCGACTTTAGAACGAGTGGTTTGAGGAATCGTTAATAGATCATAATCAGTTGATAGGGCACATTGCTAACGTCGCCTGCATTAAGTTTCATCATTCTTGAACATTGGATCACTGACAAATGAATCTTTCAAAATATTAATGCTATAGATTGTATATATCTATAGAACTGTAGCTTTTTTTGAAAAATTTGTATTGCAAAGATGAAATGTCTAAAAATGATAAAAATTTGTGTATGAGTTATTCATAGCAAGGCCTTCATGTTGAAAACGTTTTACATCGAAATTAGAAGTACGATTTTACTTAAAATCTAACATCATATAAAAAACCCCACTAGAAACTACATATTTCGGTCAAATTTCAACAAGAGCATGAACCCTTTGGCGATTGTTGTATTGTAATGGTTCTCTACATATGGGCACAATACGAATGTAAACAGCGCCGAGTACTCAGGAATGCTTCCTCGTTAATCTATATAATATTGTTTTTGTGTTATAGCAATTGTTTTCCTATCAACCAAAATCTTGAAAAATTCTGCATGAAATGAATAGCAGCCATTAAGTATTTTGATGTCCCTCTTTTTCAGCTAGCTTCTTTAGTAAGAGTTGTCGATACGTTTTGTGAGTTCCAACATTGCAAAACACCATTCACAATTGTATTCTTTTAGCATTCGAAGAAGTTTGACCAAACTAGAAGTTATATATGCTATTTTACAGAAAAAAGTGCTTGAGAAAATTGCATGTTAGTTGTTTTTGTGATATTCACAAGAATTAAGCAGTGAGGTCATGAAAAAAACTTATTCCTCTTCATTGGCACAAGAGTGTTCAAATCCTACGATGAAGATAAAAATCGAAGAAGATTCTACACAAAAGGAAAGCGAACACACAGGCCTGCAAAAAGGACGATTTCGTTGAGATGCCTCTAGTTCTGAAGTTCTGTTGTGTATTCTTCGAGCTCGCCCAACGGTCATAAGTGAAAAGCAGTTTGATTTTCTTGTGCCTCCATACCATGTTCAGGAGCGCTAGAAAATAACAATGTCCCAGCATCAATAATCCTCCAGCTGTTTGCTCGATATCTCTTTGAATTTTCATAATGTCAAACCCTATGGACAAACTAAACAAACATTTTTGGTCAGCTGTGAAAGGTGTACTTTGTGAGTGTAAATAAATGTTAGCATTCATGAATTTTCGAAAATATTCCTGTTTTTCATCGTATTTTCAAGCTTGTGAAAAATGCAAGCAACTTATTCTAGTCTTTTTCTCTGGAGCAAGGTTTGGATCGGTAAATGCCACACTAAATGATACTATGCAAAGCTGGACGCAATCTGAAACAATGATATTTCGTATAATTTATGTAGGGAATAGTAAAATAAAGTATGAAAGACACGGATTAGTTATTTGAAGAGTAAATGAGTTACATATATATCATCTTTTTGGATGAATGAATATCTGATCTCTTTATCGAAGAAAACAGCAAGTATATATATAGGAGAGAGACAATAGATGGACTAGAGAAGACGTCGAGAAGCTTCATCCGTCTGTTTAGAAAATAAACAATAGAAAGAATAAAGATAATGGTTCTTGTTACTCAACAAAGACGTCAGTTAGAAAAGTAGGTAAGTCGAAAAAGGTCATACGTGCAACAGCTGAACAGAAAAAGAAAAGAACAAGAGCATATGTATAATAGTTCGATAGAAAAGAAGAGAAGTGAAGCACTATGTAACACCTCCCCTTGTGCTTAAGAGATCGTCTTGATCTCGAAGAAAGAGAAAAATATTAATACCATGACAATCTTAACAAAAATCTAAGTTAGAATGAAAAAGAAACAAAGTAATTCTTTTTGACGTCAAGTTCAGTCGTGTTCATTGATACATAAAAATAATGACTTGACAAAAATTTTCACGAATAAATATATGTTTCGTATCAGACGTTATCACTTGTTTTGTATAATTTGGATTATGATCATTATCTGAATCTTCGAGTTTTACGATAAACGTTGAGGGCCCCTTTTGATCAATGATTTGATAAGGACCTTCGTATTTGTTTTGAAATTTCGATTTTCTATTAATAACTCGTAACAAAACTAAATCATCTTTAATGTATTTCGGATCAGATCGATTTTTATCGTATAGACTCTTCGCTGATTTAGTTTGATGTTCAGTATTTAACTCGACATGATTGAGAATTAATTTTCTTGTTTGTTTCACCTTGTCGTAATATTGGTTTGGTTTCATATCAGCTTGCAGATAATTAGTTATTGTATTATGCATATTCGGCCAGTAATACTTGTTCATCAATTTATGTGATGTTTTATTATTTCCTAGATGTACTGTCGTATGACGATCTTGATGATGAAGAAGTACTTGGTTGATCATTGATTTTGGGATCCACGGCAGTTTAATTTTTGTTTTACCACGTGGAACTAATTTATAAATAATACCATCAGTAATGTCATAAGCTTCATTATTAACTAGATACTTTATTTTTCCTTGAATTTTGAAGTCCTTCATTTGTTCTTCCTTTAATTTCCTCATACTAAATTCATTATATACTGACGGAACTTTACCTGAAATGTTTGATGGTGATGATGTTGAATTAATACTTGTACGTACTGATGAAGCTGAAGTTGCAACCTCATTTATATTTGATGATAAAGATGAATATTTTTCTTTTAATTTACCGGTTCTTAATCGAGTTTTACGAACCTTCCTCGTCGTTGAAGTATTAATTGTGTTAACACACGGCCGTATTTTAGGTACATATTGATTTGGTATAGATTTATAACTTTTATAATATCGATTATCATGATTAATATGATAATTTTTACAATATTGATTACCATGATGAACACGATCATTTTTATCATTTGGTATAATAGATGATGGTTGAAGAGATACTGCAGCTTTATTTCCTAAAATTTCAAGCCTATTTTTAAAAAGATTTATTGTTGCCCGATAATACTTGATCCAATCTTCAACTAAGATAAGATCACAACATAAAGTTTTTGTAACTGCTGCTGTTACATATGTTCGAATATGTTGAATTTTTAACTCCAAAGTTACATATCAAATAATAGAGATTGATGTTTTATTCGCCAAAAAAATTCTTGTTGTACCGGATAAAATTGTTGATGTTGTATGTTAGCAAGAGATGCTTGCTGGATGATGCTGTCGGTTGCACCTGTATCCAGGAGTACTTCCATTATTCGATTATTAACAGGTACATGAATAAAGTGTAAAGGTGATGGATAATGAATATAATTGATGGAGGCACCACCATCTAGTGACTCCCTTGTTGAAAATATTGTTGATCATGTTGAGAAGAGTTGATATTCGGACAATTCTTTCGTAGGTGACCCGGTTTGTTACATTGATAACATATTAGGTTATTATTTGCTTGTTGTTGTTGTGCAGATGTCTGGGCATGTGAATTTCTATAATAATAATCAGGTGATTCATAATATGTTGAATGATTATTTTGTTGATGATTGTAATTATTGCGATCTGGACGATTTAATAAGTGTTGTTGTTGTTGTTGTTGTTGACCTGATCTTGATGATGATTGTTGATTTGATCTTGTTTCTTTTTCTATTTGTTCGTGTCATTGCATTACTGTAAGAAAATCTTGTAATGAGGTAATCGACAATGCATAATGCTGAAGTTGTGGACGAAGACCTCTTCTAAGATATTGAAGTTTATCTTGCTCACTGATCTTATTATCTAGTTTAAGATAAAGACGATTGATGTCTTGTACGAATTTACCAACTGATTCTGTTTCACCTTGTTTACGTGCTAACAATTAAGCTAAATAGTCAATGTTGGTTGGTTGAATTGGTGGTGGAAAAGCGTATAAGAAAGCCTCTTTGAAAGAAGGCCAATTATCAATTTCATCTTGATGATAAAACCATTCTTGAGCAGGACCACTCAATTTTATTGTTGCCAATTCATATATTTGTTGTTCACTTAATTTAAGTGATTTACCAAGTTGTTGTAAGTTTTTTAACCAATTTAAGGAGTTTTCCGAGCCAGAAAAAGTTGGAAAAAGTTCAACCTTTTCATTTCTAGCTGATTGTAGCAGTGGCAGAGGTGATCTCGATCGACATGATGGTTCCAAATGATGATTTTCCATAATGTTCGACTTCGATGTATTATGATAAATTTCTTCTGAGTCTTCGCCCACCAGTGCGTCTTCCGTTAATGTATAATGAACATCTGTGATGATTGCATCAGTAGTGCAAGCTTTTGCTTGTGGTGAATTATAAGTAAGCAAAAATTGCTGAATAAAACATTGCATATCAGCCATTTTTAGACGATTAAGACGATACCATAATAAAGCATCATCAGTTTATCTTCTTGCAGCTATATCACGTTGTTCACTTGGTGTTAAGTCTTGTTGTTCAATAACTTCAAAAACATGATCTAGCCATTTTCCTGCATCTTCACTTTTCTTTCCTGAAAATGTTACAAAGTTTTCCACAATGTCTTGTTTAAGATGCATTGCTGATGATTTAATTGCATTTTTCATCATATGTTGACATGTGTCACCTGTGGTTTGAGCCGATGAATATTGATTAACACACGATGGTATTCGTGCTAATTTTTGTTGATTGTTGTCAATGGAAAGCATTGAATCATTTGACGGTTCAATTAATAAATGTTGATCATCATTATTAGTTAAAATTTTTTGATCATGGTGTAGTGTATTAGCAGAAATAGTTGATAAATGTTCAGTATCGAGGCTGCTTTTTTTCGAAGTATGATCAATTGTTGAATATGTGCACGCTGTATTATTTAATAAATGATCGTGAATAGATGTATGTTTCAAATTGCGAGTTGTTCTAGTATCTGGCATTCAATGTATATTAAGCTTCTTATTAAATCTATATCCGGTATACCTTGTTGTGATATTGACTTGACAACAAGTTGGTCAGGTCCCCAGTTACATATATATGACTTTTTGGATGAATGAATATCTGATCCCTTTATTCAAGAAAACAGCGAGTATATATACATAGGAGAGAGACAATAGACGGGCTAGAAAAGAAAGCGAGAAGCTTCATCCGTCTGTTTCGAAAATGAATAACGGAAAGAATAAGACAATGGTCCTTGTTACTCAACAAAGATGTCAGTTAAGAAAAGTGAGTAACGCAAAAAAAAGCATACGTACAACAGATGAATAGAAAAAGAAAATAACAAGAACATATGTATAATAGTTGGACTGAAGAAGGCAGAAGTGATGCACTATGTAACAGCTGGGAGACCCAAAATTGCTCCTCATATTAGGACCTCTTTGCAAGGTTTTTAAAATTTTTTAAACATACAGCTGCAGTTAAAAGTACAACTCCCGCAAACTCTGAAACTTTCATTCAATTCGCATGAAATCTGCATAAACTCTAGTGCATTTTCGAAAGAATAACTCATATTCAAGTGCTATATCAACGTTTGAGAAAAGATCGAGGTTTAAATCAAATAGCAGGAACAAACGTATACCTACCATACTTCAACTTTTGTTGTACTGACAATGATATATCTGTCTTAAAATGTGCAAAATATTTGGGAACAAAGTTATTGAGAAATGTGGAATAAGAGGATGTAGGCATTGATATGAGGGTGAATCTAATGTCAATGTGGAAGTGAAGACAGACGGGGTTTTGGACACGTTTTTCGAAAATTATCTCGAGAAAAGTATTGCACAAATCAGGATCCTGAAATTGGCTCTCACAGCACGATGAGGTTTCTTAGTTCTTCTTTACCAGGACCGAATAAGTTATGTACTTTGAAAGCATTGTTGCTAGCAAGCTTTTTTGGGTCTCTGGTAAGTGCAAAGTCTGGTAATCTCGTAAAAAATTGGAGATATTCTAGATGGCAATGAATAATGCATTTCGACTTTATTGAATACTTCGAGAATGAAAGTAACTAGAATCCATAAATTTTAATATTTCGAAATAGAGATGTGGAAGTTGTCAAAGTTAGTTGAGTGCTTCGGATTATGTACTGTATTGGCCAAGCTGGTGAGCCATTTCTGTGAATTTGAAGCATAAGTTTTCGAAAAAGCTTTCTGAACTAACTTTGAGTTGGAGATGCGAGAATGAATAGTGAAGGCATTTCTTTCTCTATGTACACGAAGCCGATCCTTCTGTCTCATTCCGTTCTGGAATTATAAGGGCTTTGATAAAACCTACGAATATATCATGAACTAAGTCTCACTGGAAACTTGATTGCGTTTCGTGTAGTTTCCTATACTGAGTTGTTTGATAATATTTGTTTCTAGTTTCATTTCAATCGCAAGTTGCCAAGTCATGCTTTTCGTCACTCAGTCTAGAGTAAAGTTTTTAAGTCAATTGAGATATTCTAAGGATTTTATATTTAGAGTTTCAGATCGTTGTGAAACTCAAAGTAAATCTCACCATTAAACTCATCATAGATGGTTACACCACCCTCGACGCAGTTTTCAGTGATCAATGTTTTGTTTAAAAGCTTTAGTAAAATACTAACGATTTCGGAGTGGAATCAGTCAGAAGAATCAGGTTTACGTAGATGAAGAAAGAAATGTCTTCGCAATAGATCTTCTGAATCCGACCTCTGAACTCATTTAGAGAGTTTTTCCTCTGAAAGTTCTGGTCAAGACCTACAGTGAAAACTCAATAGCTCAACAAATATATAGGCTGCATAGTTCAGCAAACTCTCACTTTCCATATATTTCTCTCTTGAATAGTAAAAACCGCAGGTTTCTTACTAGTGTTATTCGCGACGCATTTAACAGCTGGCAGAATGCATGACCTTTTTAAACGATAAAAATAAGGCGGTTCGAAAACAGACGTTCTTCAGTGACTAAAACTCGAGTTAAATTTGCCATTCTGAAAGAAGGCAATTGAGAAAGAAAGAGTTTCATGGCCTTCATTGGTATCAAACATTGTTAGGAATCTTTTTCTATGAGTGAGGGCACCATAATTTATGGTGATTAGTTAGTCTTAGGCTATAAACCACAAGGACTGATGATTCAACATAGATATCTTTTATTGATGAATGGCATAAGTCTTGATCTTTTTAAGAACATCTGCAATGCTAACAATAAAAACCGGTGCAATTTTATTTTGTATTATCGCGACCTGTTTGATACTTGGCAATAAATTCATTTCTACCCCAGTTCTTTTATTACCATCAGCTAAAAGTAATAAAACATGGTGGGCAACAGGTATGTCAGGAAATCAATTATTATGTTATGGAAAAACTTGGTGTAATCACATTTGCTTCTTGACTGATTTTAAGGCTCCTTAAAACAAAAACTTCCAATATATAATTCGTTTGTTGCTGGACACACAGTTTTCAATGATAACAGCGAACATATCACTGGGCACATAAATTGTATTTATATCCATTTTTATACTGCTCCAGTGTTTAACAAGGCTGAAATATGGGTTTATGTATTAGGCCAAACTCAAGCGTCAATATCTTCAGCTAAACCTGTAATGTCTACTTCTTTTTCAATGTCTAATAATGTAATACCGGTAGTTTTATGAAAGGCTATACAGTTATAGCTCTCTCTGAATAATGAACGTTCTATAGTTAAATATGTGGTTGAAAAACTGTTTTCATAGCGAGAAGATCCAGTAAAGTATACTGTTCAAAATGACTATCACTGTAAAAAAATGGGCGTAGAATAATAAACCCTTGAAAAGAGTTTATGAACTTCATAAATCCTCTTGCATACCCTTTTTGGCGTTTATTAGTATTATAAACCCTTTCATACATCCTTTTAGTTCATAAATCCTGGGAAGGGTATGTGATAAGTTGCACTTTCATAAACCGTTTAGGGTATATGAGCAGTAATATACCTTTAAAAAGTTTATGAACTTCATAAACCCCTCGGGAAAGCGTGTTTTATTGTACCCGTTAGAGAAATTCGTAGAATAAAAAACGCTTTTCCGAGGGGTTTATGAAGTTCATAAACTCTTTTCAAGGATTTATTATTCTACGCCTATTTTTACAGTGATATAAGAGTTCGATTAGCTCATGTAGTAAGAAACTTATAAGCTTAGGAGTATGCTTTGCACTAGCAAGAACCCGTGCATACTACACAGTTTTCTGTTTTCATCATAACAATAAGCTTTTTCCAATGGTAAGGAAATTGTCGAAGATGTGGTTAGAGCCAGCCCTTACCTCCACTATTTCCATAGAAGGTATTTGCGTTGGTAGGTACATCTGGGCGGTTGTACGTTTGGAGTAAGGATGTTGATGATACTGTGATGTAAATGTTACTTCATAATCCCCAATACAACTACGATCTCCTCTACATGCACGCGGAATGGTGTGCACATTTACTCTCACTCAATAACAACCACTTATATTCTCTCACCGCCATACCACTCTCCACACCACGCCACACCTCTAAATCTCTTGACCTCGACAGCGCTCCGCCCATCCCCACATTACATGTACACTCAACATCTTCGCTTTACACCATACACCACTCCTGCCTAACTACTTGTTGCACGGTACCCTACATCGAACTGCATCCTGACTTTGACGCTTGACCTTTGATTCGACACAGAACACACGGACGGACAATGAACATTATATATATAGATACACGAGTAACTGAACCACAAACCTTTAGAAATTGCCAGAACATTTGTTGATCATGAATGTTAAGATCAAATTCTATTATAATTAATATTCATAAACATGATTCCGAATGATTTACCTTTCTTTCGTCAAAGATTGATGTATTTTGTCTACTTTTGTGTAACATCGTTCATGTATTACTTCTCCATTCTGAGCAACAAAATGAATTCATAAAATGAGACTTGAAAATGTTTTTCTTCTTGTTTTTCTTACAACTATTGAAAAGTACTTTCAATTAACCATGCCTATCCAAATTTGGTGTCCGTATTTTCTGAATCGATTTTCTTTCAAAACATCATGAACAACATTAACAGGAAATTGTGTTGTTTCTTTTGAATCTTGATCATCTTAAAAAATGACGGTGGCTAAATATTGAGCCGCTCCATGAATTGTAGAAATAACTTCTCTTAAAAAAATTTAGTATATGCTTGAGCAGTCCTATACATTTTTCTTTGCATTGATCTAATTGATGTTGATTTTCTAGCCATTCGATAAAAGTACACTGAAAAAAAAATTGGTACGATACCGAACCAAAAAGGGTACTGTGAAAGAAAAAAGGGTTTCGTACATCGTACGGAACCTAAAAAGGTTTCGAATTCGTTGCAATTCTCTGAACCATTTTAGGTTTGGCACAGATCACTTCGAAAAACTTGAAAAAGTGTCCTGAGTCAATGAGAATCAATTTTAGTCACCCAAAGTTTTGTACGAAACCTTTTGAGGGTTTCATATTGTCTTCCTAAATGGTTCGGTACGCTGCAAAAAAATTTGCATGATTATGGAACCATTTAGGAAGACAATACGAAACCCTCAAAAGGTTTCGTACAAAACTTTGAGAGACTAAAATTGATTGTCATTGACTCAGGACACTTTTTCAAGTTTTTCGAAGTGGTCTGTACCGAATCTAAAATGGTTCAGAGAATTGCAACGAATTTGAAACCTTTTTAGGTTGCGTACGATGTATGAAATCCTTTTTTCTTTCACAGTATCCTTTTTGGTTCGGTATCGCACCAATTTTTTTTCAGTGTAATAGAAACGTCGTTTGGTATCGCGGTTTTTGAGGAGCTCTCACCTCAAAACGTGATACTACTTTGATATTTTTCGTTTCATACTTTTCTTTGGTGAGCAACAATTTCAGATAAATCTTCAGCATGAACCACATTACTTTTAATAGTTTGAAAGCCTTCAACTCAAAACGTCTCACAGAAATCAGTGTCAACAGTTTAAGAA